GGATGATTGTCACAGACAGTATTTTGAGTGAAAGTAGTCAGACACCAAAGAGTTCATTCTATACGATTCCATTGTATGGAGTTCAAAAATGGGAAAAGCTAATCTAACCTGACAGAAATCAGAACAACAATTGTCTGTGGGAAATAGGAACTACTGGAATGGGACACAATATTTTCTGAAGTGATGAAAATGTTCTATATTTTTATTGAGGGTATTGGTTATAGGGATCAAAATTCCCTGAATTGTACACTTAAGGTTAATACATTTTACTGTATATACATTTTACCTCAATAAAAAAATACCGAAAAAAAAAAAGCATTTGCACTTCTAAGAACTTATCCTTGGGGAATAACCAGTGAAGTGGGCAAAGATATGCTTATTACAGTATAAACTGTAACAGATAAACAATAGAAATGATACAAATATTCAAAAATATGGAACTGGTGAAACAAATTATGATATATTAACACAATGAAAATTCTATAGAACCAATAAAAATGATATATAGATACACAGTAACTTCATATAAAAATGTTCACAATATATTATTGAATGAAAAGGCCACAATAGCCAGAGAGTAAAATGTCCATTAACTAATAAATGGACAAATAAAATGTGATATATACATACAATGGAATATTGTTCCACCATAAAAAGGAATGAATTACTGACACATGCTACAACATGAATCGATCTTGAAAAATTATGCTAAGAAAATGACAGTCACAAAAGACCATATATTATATGATTTCACATTTATGAAACGTCTAGAATATGTAAACCTATAGTTACGGAAATCAGATTACTGGTTGTCTAAGGTTAGGAGGTTAAAGCTGTTACGGGGGAAAAAAGTAAAAGGCTACATGTATAGTATGATCCCATTTTGTAAAAAAAAATTTACTCATATATACTTGGTAAAACATCTGGATAAATAAATTCAAGAGTTAAGTGTGATTTCTAAATGAAGAAATTATGGGGTTTTTTTTCTTTTTGCTTCCCTATCTTTTCTATAATAAATAGGTATTAACGTTGCAGTAGTCTGTAAATGGCAGGCTATAATAAGGGTTTCTCCTACAAACTATTGCACTAAACTTTCCTGCAAGGCCACCAGGAGACCTAGTTGCTGGCTTCCCAGCTCTTGGCTCAATTCTCAATAGGAGATCTTAACAGATGATGGTATCACAGATATACCTCACAGAGACAAGCCAGAGTGTCACCAAGTGGTTACCAACCATGACCAAACAAATAAGCTCCAAGTACATAAAGCAGATGGAAATGGCTAACTCTCCATGCTGTTTAACTGCACTATAACAGCCACATAGTAAACAAACCAAAATAAATGCCTGATCTCTTTCAAGCATAAAAAACCAATGGACATTAACAAGTAATGGGAATCTTATGGTTATAAATGGTTATACTTACCTCTCTGTAGAATAAATCTGAATTATTGTGGACATCATAAGCCAAAAGATTAGTCTGTGTCCCCACTAACAGAGCATCATAGCCAAGCTCAGGGTTCAGTACTCCTGCAGCCAGGCAGCTGACTGCCTGGTTAATGTTGAGAAGAGAAACATCAGACTCCAGGGGGCTCTGGCAGACCCTGGATGTACTGAAATGCTGGCTCCGTGTATGAGGATTATGGATAAAAACCTAAAACAAAAACAGTTAATTATATTCCCTTAAAATACCAAAGTGTAAAATTAATATCATATATTTAAAAAAAGAACCAGGTTATTAATAGATATCAACATTAACACTTTAATCTCCTACAAAACTTAAAACATTTATACAGTTCTGTGCATGGCTAACTTTCAGTCATTATGAACTATGGAAATCCAGTGGTTCTTAAGTTTGCAAATATCAAGATAATGAATAAGATCTAGTTGTTGCTTACCAGGGCAGCTGACATGCCACCCAGCAGCAAGATGTCAAAGCACTCTTACAAACCAGCCTTTCCCTGATCAACCAAGAGTAAGTGCCACCGGCTTCAACATGATTGCACCACACCAAGAAGATCACAGACAACAGAATAAACACTTCTTTTGGTATCTTTTATCCAAGCACCTAATAAATTTACTTCCTAACCCTTAAAACAGTCTGATAGTTAGTAAATCTGTTTCAAAAACTTAAACTGAGTCACATAAATCAAGTTTCTTGAAGGCTTTCATAGTTTATACAAATAAGACAGAAGTAGCCCCAAAATAAAAAATTTAGCAGTTTCAACCATCATAAATATAATCATCTGAGTGTCTGCACAAATCATTCAACTTCTTTGGGCTTCATCTGTAAAAAAGAGATTTGGACTAGAAAATGCATTCTCAAGAGGGATAATATCACTCCCAACATGGATAATTGGGTTTGGGATGGGGGAATCTTAATTAGAATGGCTTGTAGCCCTCCACAGGGCCACAGTACAAAAGGAGATATACAGTATATCTATGGTATTAAAATTTAGGGAAAAGTTCATTGTCTAAAAAAATCTCCGTGAGGGGGTAACATGAAAAAAAAGGGGGGGATGGAAAACACTGGACTAGAGATCCCTTCAGTCCTCCTAGTTCTAAAATTTGTTAATTTTAAATGAGTATTCCTATCCCTTTGGTATAAATCAAAACAGGATTAATTTTAAATTATTAGCTACCCAAGGCAGCCTATTCAAGAAAAAATAATTTTCAAAAGAATTGACTAAAAACGTGTAGAAAAGCTATACAGCCACTGAATATTGCCTTCATGTTCTTGTTTGCATGATAGTTTACAACATGCTTTTATAAACATTAATTGCATTTGATCCTCATACCAACCCCCTGATTTACAGGTAAGAAAGAAGGGGAGGGGCAATAACTTATGGGCTCCATATTCACTGTTACTGGAATACAAAGTTTGTGATTTCTGCCAAGAGCAACAAGAGTCTCAGGAGTCAGTCCTCTCCCCAGTTCCCCTCCTGCTGTTCTCTGCACACAGAGAGTCCCCAGGGAGATTGTACCTGGCCCTTCAGGCAAGAAAAAAAGCCAACCTCGAGCACATGACAATGGACCACTCCTGGTGAGTGCTTATCTTGTAGACTCTCCAAAGGACTGGCTGAAGCGCACACATTTGTTCTAGCTGAGGGGGTGCTGCTGACAATATAAATTCAGCTGACCCTCTCGGCACCGTGGCGAGAGAAAAAATGTCCCCAGAAGAAAACACTAATGTTTATCCTGTAAGAAATCCCTTTTTCAAATCACCTTGCTCAGGCCCAGAGTCAGCTGCATGTTCACAATAGGGTCCCAGATGTAATAATAACAAAGTCCTGTTTCTAGAGACACAGGCCACAGCAGTCAAAGAAGGCTCTAGCCCAACCTGCAATGTTTGTTTTCAAAGAAGAATATGTTCATGAATTACTTAAGTCATAAAATATGACCATTTTTTTTAAAGTCTCAAGATAAAAGATCAAGTCAGAACTTTTCAGACTTGTTTAGTTCTGAACACGCAGTATCCAAATACACAGCACTTTCTTAATTTTTGTTTTTTTGGCCATCTTTAAAAACAGCCATAGGTCACACTCTAATGTAAGAGCTTCCATAGAAGCCTCCACCTGATCTCCCAGCTCCCACTCCTACACACACCTCCTCCTGCATCCTGTGGTGGTACACCCTCCACATACCAGCCAGAATTATCCTTTATCGAAAACTTAAGCAAATCCCATCAACCACTTTATCAAAACCCTCAATGGCTTCCCAACATACTCAGTATAAAAACTAAGGTCTGGCCAGCTGCGGCAGTGACTCACGCCTATAATCCCAGCACTTTGGGAGGCCGAAGTGGGAGGACCCCTTGAGCCCAGGAGTTCAAGACCAGCCTGGGCAACAGCAAGAACCCATCTCTACAAAAAATAAAAAAATTTGCTGGGTGTGGTGGCAAACGCCTGTAGTCCTGGCTACTCAGGAGGCTGAGGCAAGAGGATTACTTGAGCCCAGGAGTTGGAGGCTGCAGTGAGCTATGATGATGCCACTGCACTCCAGCCTAGGCAACAGTGAGACCCTGTCTCAAATAAAATAAAAAATAAAACCCAAGGTCTTTGCCATGGCCTACAGGGCCCTGTATGATCTGGCCGGTGGCTGTCTCATGAGCTTCCCTTATTGTATTCCAGGCACATATCCACCTCAGGGCCTTTGCACATGCTGATCCCTCTGCCTGCAAGGCACTTATCCCACATACCTGCAAAGCTTATTTCCTCATTTCCTTCAAACCTCTAATCAAATGTTATCAGAGGCCTGTCTGAGTACCCTGTCTGAAATAGCAAGCTCCCATCATCCCGGACCCCTTTTTCTGTTTTTCTCCTATGAAGTAATTTATATATTCTGTTAACTGCCTGACTCCCCCTCTCAAATATAAGCCCCAAGGGGGCAAAACTTGGAGCATCCACCATTGCACCTGCAGAATTAAGAAAACTGCTCAGCACGTATTAAGGCCTCAAATTAGGGCCAGAGCTAATATTACTGGGATATTTTCAGCCCATTTATATAACAGCTGCGCACCTACAGCAGAACCAATATGAATTTCTTTTTGCCATTTGTCCGTGCCTTCTAACAAACAAGTAACATTATGACGTGCCAGACCCTGTGCTAAGTAAGAGCTTAACTCCATTATACTACTTAATGAGAACGAATCATTACTTTTTACTTATGCATCCCAAGGCATATGACATGACATGCAACACAGGCGGAAACTGTCTTGAAAACATAAATCATCACACAAATGCTAGCTTATGAAATCCACACTGGGTCAGAGAACATGCACTCTGATCACACTTCCATCACTTTCTAGTTGAGTGGCCTCAGGTGCTGCAGTGAACCTCTCTGAAATGCTATTTCTAATCAATAAAGTGGGAGTTATAAAAAGAAAATAACAGCTAACAATTAGTGACCACTTCCTGTGTGCCAAGTGCTTTACATGTATTAACTTATTTAATCCCAACCCTATGTATTAGGTACTGTTATTAAGTACCTTGCCCAAGGTCATGAAATTAGTAGTAGCCAGGATCCACCACACCTGTGTATGCTGCTGCCCTTGGCCCTGTAGCAAATATGCTGAGATAATTAACGTATAAGGCTTTGGACTTGTTAGAAGATACTACCGTTGGTGTCACTGTATTCCATGTATTTTGGATGTGCCTCCATCAATACACAGGACTTTTATTTGCCTTGTCTGTTGTCCTGCTGGGCTATAAGCTTTCTGAAAGTAGACACTCCAAGTTTATTTCTGAATCCCCAAAATCTAGTATAAACGTTCAGTGTAAATCTGGTGAATGCTGAGTGTCTTTTTTCTCTCCGTGACTCATACCTTGCGCAGTACCTGGCACACAGTAAGCAACTAATAAATATTTTGTGACTCAATTAAAGGGAAAGACCCTTTAAGAATGTACATGGACAAGGATCAAAAGTGCAATCTGTGTGCTTTAATTTAGGGGTCTTTTTTTTCTGTAAAGCAGTGTGAGAGAGTGGAAGGAGTTCCACATGATGGTTACAGAGACCTCAGAATCTGTCACTGCTAATCCTAACCAAGCCCCTTCCCTTCTGGTCTGGAGGATTCTCTTCCCTAAATTCCTAGCTCCCTAGTCCAGATCCAGGACTCCAACATTGTCCGAGTTTGAGTGCCTGACAAGAAAACGTCAACTGGCCAAAAAGGCTGTTCCTGGCTAGGAGTGGTGGCTCACGCCAGTAATCCTAGCCCTTCGGGAGGCTGAGGCGGGAGAATCACTCAGGCCAGCAGCTCAAGACCAGCCTGGGCAACATAGCGAAACCCCGTCTCTATAAAAAATGAAAAAATTAGCTGGAATGGTGGTACTCGGGAGGCTGAGCCAGGAGGATCGCTTAAGCCGGGGAGTTCAAGGCGGCGGTGGGCTGTGATTACACCACTGCACTTCAGCATGAAATGACAGAGGGAGACTCTGTCTCAAAACAAACAAACAAAAAGCAAAGCTGTTCCTGTAAGACCCCATTACTCTTGGCAGGATGGAGAACTACTAGGTGACTGCCAAGCAGTTGCCGGGCAACACGGGCTGGGGGCGGGGTCAGAGAGTGGGAGCAGGATCACAGGGGCGCGGGCTGCGGGAGTCGTGGGGTCCCCAGGGGTCTGGGCTCCGAGCGGGTGGGAGCGGTTACCTTGCCCGCTTGGGTGGCGGCAGCCAAGCACGGGTGAGTCCCGTCGTAGCGCCCTATGGCCACCATGCGGGGGCTGATTTTGTGGCGCAGTTTCAGGGTGAACACGGGCAGCAGCATGATGGCGGCGGCTTAGGGGAGGAGGGCTGGCGACCCGAGGCGGGCGCAGCGGAGCCGGCCTCAGCCGCCCCGGTGACGAGCTGAGGAGCACGGAGACAAGACCCACCCGGCCCCAGCCGCCCCAGGCCGGGCGCGAAACAGCCAGAGCCGACCTGCTCGCGGTACCGGCGGCTCCTTCTGCGACTGCGCAGACCCGTCCAGCTCCTTCTGCGGCTGCGCAGTCGAGCCTCAGCGCCTTCTGCGGCTGCGCGGTCGGGCCTCAGCACGGCGGAGACTGCAGTCCGTTACCTGCAGGTGATGGAGTCTTGTGTTTTGCAGCTGTAACTTACTCACGTTAATTTCAACTACACTAACGTGTCTGCAGGGGCATGTCTGAACTAGTGCACCTCCGGGGTTTCCCCTTCTAACACCACAACCAGTCTGCACCCCTGCAGACTCCACGCACTGCTGCCCAATTCCAAAGGGTCATTGATTCAAGAAGCAGTTGAGTACCTGCTCTGTCCCTTGCTTGTCCCGTTATGTCGAGACAAACTGTGGCAGTTACTTACCTGCACTAAGTATATCAATCCTCTCAAAAGAAGAGAAAACATGCTTCGACTCTCACGTTTCAATAGTCTGGGGCCCCTTGTGAGACTCCCTATGTATTTTTAAATGCAAACATGTAAAATTGGAAAGTGACCATTCATTGAATAGCGGTAAGTCGTTTGGTAGTAAGCACTATAGAGAAAACAATGGGAAGGAAGAGAAGATAGAAGGTTGGAGGGAATACAATGTTAAATAGGTGGAACAGACCTCACTGAGAAAGTGACATTCAGGCAAGGAGGTGAAGGGAGCGAGAGAGCCAGCCTTGAGGGAGAGTGTTCCAGCAAAGGAAACTCAGGTGCAGAGGCCCTGAGGGCTCTCTCTGGCTGCTTTCTGGAAATAGACATTTAGTGAGGAGTGAAGATGAGCAAGAGCCACCAGAGGAGACTGAGAAGGAGCCGGCAGTGAGGAAGTAGAACCCGGAGAGTACCGTGTCCTGGAAGCTAAGTGAAGAGAAGGTGGCCAGGAGGAAGAAAATAACAACTGGATCAGAATGCTGCTCAGATCTTGAAAGATGAGTTCTGAAATATTCTCGATATTTGCATTTTGTAATTACAGTTGTACAAATGAGCATCTTTTTTTCAAACCCATTGGTATGTCTGTGAGACTTGTTGTAACTTCTTTCAGAGATAATGTCAAAAAACTAGAGGGTCTCGATGGAATGTAAGACCTGAGCCAGTGGCCCTCCAGGCCCCCTCTGATAGACAATGCCTCTGAGTTCACCCAGCCCCTCTCTGCTCCACCCTCACTCCCTCTTCCATCACCTGTCTAGATTCCACATCCTGTAGCAGCTCCCTGATCGGCCCTGTCATAGAAATTGCCCAGGGTCTGTCTTGCTGCCCTTGCCTATGAGAACATACTTTGTTTTGTGAAGTCCTCTCTCTTTAGTCCTCATACTCTACCTGCACAAAGTCATCAGCTCACTGAAGCCACTTTGCTGTGCTAATGGCTGATCACAGCTTGGTAGGCTGCCTCTCCCAGGAACAACTGGAAAGGAATGAATCTCTAATGGAGATCATTCTGGGCCTTTCATTTTTTCTGACAAACCTTTATTGAGGATCTCTATAATATATTCTAGGCAGGGAGTGGTGGGGGCATCGGAGGGGGACCGGGGTTAGGCCACGCCTGCTGCCTGCCACTCCCTCTCCTTGTCCTCACCTTGAGTTTGCAAAGTACTCCCACTAGAGGGTGTGCAGGTGTTAAAAAACGGAGATTCAGGCACCTCAAGACTCTATTAAAGGCTGGAGGGAGGTGGGGTGCGAGGGCCACAGGGCTCAGCCCTGAGGAGTGGACCTGGGCAGGGAGACCACCCGAAGGACTTTGCCTTTTTCTTTATGCACTGTCGTGTTTGCTGTTTTTACAGGGAGCTTGTTTTACTTTTGTAATTAAAAAAAAAAAACTTTAAAGTAGTGTGAGGGTAAGGGGTTGTCTATGGATTTCAGGGATCCAGATCCGTAGCCTCTCGCCACCCCTGTTTTCCCAGAACCTGCCTATAAAGGACCCCAGTCTCAGGTTTCCCCAGACTCTTTAAATGGACTGGCCATTAGGACCCCTCCCCAGTTTACAGAGGGACAGGGGCAGGGACACCCCTGGAGCAGAGGGGGCCGCATGGGGTGGGGATCTGTGAGATATTAGTGAGAAAATTGGTGAAATCTGATTATAGTTTATAGTTTGGTTAGTACTATTGTAGCAATGCTAATTTCTTACAAACATGCCATGGTTATGCAAAATGGTAATTGATCACAACCAATTACAGATTCCTTTGTTCCTTCTCCACACCCACTGCATCACTTTACTAGACTTTAAAAATACATAAATAAATATAACAAAAAAATAAAAATAACAACCGAAAAAAAAAGAAAATGACAACTCTAGGAAGATGGATGAAGCGTCTACAGGAATTCTTGCCCGGGGTTGGAGATTGGGGTGGTAGTGGTAGGATCAACTGTAAAAGGGCAAAAGGGAACTTTTGGGGATGATAAGAATGTTACACATTTTTTTTTCCTAATTTTTTTCCCTATATATATTTTTAGTTGTCTGGATAATTTCTTTCTATTTTTTTTTTTAGTAGAAATGGGGTCTCGCTCTTGCTCAGGCTGGTCTCGAACTCCTGACCTGGAGTAATCCTCCCGCCTCGGCCTCCTTGAGTGCTAGGTTTACAGGCGTGAGCCACCATGCCCAGCCAGAATGTTATACATTTTGATTGTGGTGGTGGTTACATAGATGTATGCATTTGTCAAAACACACCAAAATGTACATTTAAAATAAGTATATTTTATTGCATATAATTATGCCTGAAAGAAAATTGATCTAAAAAAATTTGTTAATCAAAAAATAAGATCACGTCACTCCCATGTATAAAATCCTCCAATGACTTCCCCCTTATACATTGAATAATATCCAAACTCCTAACCTGGCCCACAGAGTTCTGGTGTCTGTGAATCATCCCAACACATCAAATTTGGTCTCACCTCCTGGCCTTTGCACTTACTGTTCCCAACGCCTGGAATCCACCTGGAATTCTCTGCCCCAAATCTTTTCAAGCCTGGCAGCTAAGTGTTAACTGCATAACAGAACTGATACATGGTGGCACTTTCTCCATGAGAAACCTTCCAACCTAACATTATCCAAGCACCTTCAACATACCCTGGAACTATTGGGTGCTCTTTAAATATTTGGTGAAGAAATGATTGTTTATTCAAATAAATCTATATTTGCGTCTTCAATAACTCATTTGTCAGGACCTACTATGCCACCTGTCACTTCTCTCCACCTGGAATACTCGGCCCCAGATCTTTTCAAGGCTGGCTCCTATAGTCAATCAGATCTCAGCTCAGCAATCCCCTCCTCAGAAAGGCCTGCTCTGCTCCCCCAGTCTCTCTTTCAAATCACCCTGCTTTATCAATTCCAATCTGTTGGATTGGCTTATGTAACTTCAAAATAGATTATATAGTTGAAGAATACAAAATAGATTATATGCTTCTTTCTTTTTCTTGTTTTGCACCATTTGCCACCTCTATAAGGTATAAATGACATGACACCCACAAGACCGTACTAAAGATTCTAGGTGACATGGCTGAGCCAGAGACTCCTGAACCAAAGAAGGAAAACCGTGAGAGAGTGATTACCATGTGCACATAGATGAGGACCAGGACTTAATTTTTTTAATAAATAACAATAATGCATCACATCTTCAGTTATTCAAAATTTTATTCAGTGAGTTACATTTAAAGACTCTTTCAGAAAATAAAGAAAAGATTTGGCCTACTGGGATCCAAATATAGTTGCCTTGCCAAACAATTCACTCGAAGAAAACACATTTTGATTCATTTTTATTGATGCTGTTATTCTCCTTCTTAACATTCTCTGGCTTTGGGCATCAGCTTCTGATTTTGAAATGCCTATATAACCTACGTAAGTTGTGATTTTTAAAAAAAATCTACAAATTTGCTCTCCTTAATCTTCTCGTTGCTATGATGTATCAAAAATTCCTCCAGCTTTCATCTCCACCTGCCAAGCCTACAATAGTAAATGGTGTTGATGAGAAGGTGTGACCAGAGTCGTGCTTTAATGACAAGTCTGCTTTGCCAGGGCAATGAAGAGCTAAAGAGTCTTCAAATGATTTTGAAATTAGAGGAGGCCACCGCTGGCCGTGGTTAAGCCCAGCACTCAAGGAGCAGAGGAACCGGCTTCTGGCCCATCCCGCCCCCAGGTTCAGATCAAAGCTATTAGCTAGAGTCTGTTCCAGTTTCCAAGGAGTATGTTCTTTATAGCCCCCTGGAGCCAGCCGTGGGTGTGGCCAGCATCAGACGCTGGCTAAGGCTTGACTCAGCATTAGTAACTACCGATTTGGGCAGAAAGCCCACCTCTGGGGCACCCGCTCTGCAAGGTTTGAGTTATTCTACATTGGTATGAACTGCTGTAGCTGAAAGCAGTATACAGCTTTGTGGATCTGAACGTCATATCTCCAGGGGATACAGAAGGCTAAAGGAAATTCCAAGTTCCATTTCTACACTCATGGCATTTCCAAGGAGAAAGGGACCAGAAAGGTCACCAGCCCAGGCTTCTGCCCAAGGCAAGAATCACCGTCCAGTCCCTGGATGAATACTTCCAGTGACTCACATGGAGGCCATCACATTTAAACACAGTCCTCAGAAATCTCTCACTTATATTGAGCCACGTATCCGTCTGTCTATAGAAGTAGATTGACTTCATCACTCTTTGCATGTCAGCTTTTTGGGTATCTGAAGATGTATCCTCTTCCCTCCAAGTCTCCTCTATGTTAAACACCCCATGTGGCCCCTTCAAGGGATCTTGGGGGGGTGGAATTCCCAGTTTCTTTCCCAACCTGGACATATTTCACCATTACTTGTTCCTTCACGGGCCTACTCCAAGAGGATCAGAACTCTAAAGTAGACATGGACATATTGTGAGCCCCTTACACACACAAACACACATACATACACACACAAGTCCTTTTCCTGAACCTACCTCAAGCTCCCCAGGTATAAGCCAGAGGTGATGGCATCTGTACAGCACAGAGAACAAGGCTGCCGTGAAGTCTTTGGTAGGAGACACCAAGAAACAAAGATCAGTACTCCTTTTTGAAAGATAGACAAAAGGGAACTGCCGAGGTGCGGAGGTGCTGAGGCTGATGGG